ATCCCCGAGCCAAAAGTCGATCACCAGCTGATAATGAATTAACCCAACCACGCCTCTTAAGCTCAGATAACAGTGATCCCGGACCTTCATGACCTATCAGGTGTGCTGCAAAGAAAAACTGTCATTAGTAAAAGTGTTTTTTCATGAGCTGCAAAAACTTTTGAATATGAAATTTGAATTATTACCGCTTTTCTAAAGTATAATACTTCTAAAATTTAAATAATTTCTTTCTCTTCACGCTTAGTATCGAGTGAATGTTAAAAAAATAGCAGGAAAATGAATAAACCATTGAGAAATCATTTTTTCAATTCAACAATCAAATTTGAAAAATTATTAAAAGCTAGCCTCAAACTGCTATCTGTACATCGAATGCATGCTCCATGTCCTAATGATTTATTGCTTTGTTTACGAAAAATCATCACTTTAATGAAACAGATTAAGAACGAGTGGAAACTCACAAACATAATGAGCAGGCCAAGACCGATAATCATCTCGATAATCGCGAATCGGAAATGTCAGGGTTAAATATCTTAGGTCTTTCACAGGCACCAGCTGAAAAAATATCAGTGGAAGCGCATAGCAAATATTCTCTACTAATTATGAACTTATTCAAACAAAATATTTTTGATGAAATCTTTGAAATGAAAAGATCTTTCGCGATATTTTTGATTTCACAGACCTCGATGCAAAAGTCACAGCAAGAAATAAAGCCAAGTAAAAAAAGAAAAATTCATGGAATTGTTAAATCCCATCATTTTTCAAAGCTGGCCAACCATGAATATTATGATGATCACTGACTCAACAAGTCCTACCTCAACTTTAACTCCTAACTGTTCATCACCATATGGTCCTTCACTCCAAGTTTTTCGCGACACATTCTTCTTTTCAATATTTCCAAAGCTAAGCGATGTAACCATTTGCTCCAGGTCATCCAGTGACTCCTTCCCCAAAATGGCAAATGACATTCTAGAAAAATTTTGTTCAAAATTTATATTTGATAAAGTATAGATTAAACAGAACATCAACATTTTACTTATTGCAGTTTCAAAATAAACAAATAAAAATTGAAGTATGCAGATAAAACTTTATGGAGATAGTATCCACTTTTTTTACCTCTTCTGATAATTTCAAAAGTAAATTATAAAACTGGTAAAAAACTCATTTGTTGGTAGAGCTTCGAATATGCTACAAATAAGATAATTTATTGAAATCACATTTATTGTAGAAGAAATATACTTACATGTCCGATGAGTAATATGTTTTATGGAATTCCAATAGCGCTTTCCGTGGTTGAATTCCATTTTTCAATGCTTCAATCATAAGTGTTGTACGATTGCCAGTACCAAATTTACCATAATCATGTGAAGGCTTTGATAGTGATCTAGTAAAAATGAGGGAGAATGAATTATAAACAAATGTACCAAAACAAAATTACAACATATTGTTTCCTTTTCTTTCAGAGCTCATATTAATTACAATAAAACGAAATGCTCAATATTCCTTGTATTCTCTACAACGATGACTTCACTTAAAATTATTGCAAATTTCAGATATTGATAATCAAACCCTTTCTCCATAACTTTACTTGAATACGCTTCAAAATAGGTTCAATTTTGGAATGAAATTTCGCATGATTTCCTTAACAAGTAAATACGAAAAACTATAAGAGACTCAAAATTGCACTTATTATATATCATAATACAACTTTATGAAAAGCCAAAAGTCTTTGTTCTCCTTTCATTAATTCGATACAAATAATATAAATTCAAACAATTAATCAGCTTACCTTTCAACTTGTAACATGCGCCATTGATCGTTAAAAAGACTATTGGAAAATTCCGAATCAACAGCTCTCACTTCGCGTTCGGTCGCGCTTTCCGTAAATTGTGGACACAAGAAAAATTGTACGAACCTATCTAGAGCTCCCTAAAAACTTGAAAAATTTAAAGCAGAAAAACAGATAAATGGATAAAATGAAACTATTGACAACATAAAAGATGTTGTCAAAAGAAAGCTCGACGATTGTCTTTCAAAGCGATTTGCTTTTCCATAAATCTCTAACCCAATAATTTCGCAATATCTGTAAATCTTGAACGGATAGAATAAAAGATTAGAAGCAAAAAAAATAAAAAAGACTAGAATGATTGCATTTGGTAATCGCTACTATCAACCATATATAATAATTATGAAAAAATTTTTAGTAAATCCGGATAGCCTGTATAGAAAATGAAATCAAATACTTTGGGAAAAGTAAATGAGAAAGACTGACATGCAAATGTTCAGGTGCAATGTCGAAATGATAATTCGTATGATCAGTAGCTGTATAAGCGTTTGTTATTCCACCATGCGATGATATGAATTTACTATATTCATTCTCCGATGGGTATTTATCAGTACCCAAGAAAAGCATATGCTCGCAAAAATGTGCTAATCCGGGCAAGTTCCACGGGTCCATCAAATGACCTACAATATGAATATCGTATTTTAATTAATGAGCTTTTCCAATGCAACCTTGGACAATTTTTCATTCTTTTCGTACTTTATTTTTTCTATTTTAACATCAAAAAGTTTGCGAAAATTGAGAATTGAATTGTAAATACCTACCCACATTAACATCTAATGATGCCGCACTTTTATCTGTCTTCGAATCCGAAATCAAAAGAACTCGAAGTCCATTTGTCAGTTCCAACCCTCGATACTATAATATAAAATTTTTTTCAGTCAACAATCTAATTTATATAGATTTTTTTGAAAACATTTACGTCATCTGGAGATTATTTAATAAAAACAGATTTTTCGAAATTTATAAATAAGCAGTGAAATTATGTAATTTAATCTAAATGACTAACTTCTCGTTTATCCTCCTTTGATTTGATGATATTATCGTATCTTTGTGCAATCACATCAGCTGGTGAAGTTTTTGAAGCAGACATCGATAATATGGATCGGACAGGCATGAAAAGTGAATTCCTGAAATGGTATCTTTCCAAAATAATACGACAAAGAAATAAAAACGAACATTAAAACAATTTAAGCAGCATATGTGAATAAACTGAGAATGATGGCAATAAGTAAGTTCAGGATGAATATGAAAAGCTATATAACACTATTTTCTTTTACCTTTGCCTATATCTAACAACATAAAATCAAAAGAAAAAAAACAAATCTTAGGATTTAAAAATTAATTATAATAATTTGCTTGAAAAACATAAAGTTGCATCATAATAAAACTTCATTCTTGAATAAAAGCTATTCCTAATGGTATCAGCAGAAAAAATGTATGTAACATATCAAATACATTCTATAGAAGATGCGCGTAAAGATTAAAATTTTTGAAAAATGAAAATTTTATAAACAAGTAAGCAAATATATATTATTTTTGAAATAAAATGTACGATAGCATGCATTTATAATAATAATAATATTATTAATGGATAATAATGTGCACATACATTTCACTAATGAATCATTTACATTGTGCAGGTTTAAATATGATACATTTAATTTTAAAATAACAAAAAAAAAATGTTGCACACTTTTAAATATAATACATCTAAATTTAAAATAAAAAATGTCTCAAAGAAATGAATACATCATTACCGTTTTGATGTTTTAGAAGATAAAAAAACACCCAATGACGCAAGCGATCGTTCTGATGTCGACCAGAAGCGTGCGGGCGCTTTCGAAAGCAAACAGCGATAAATGTTGCTCATTCAAAACGTGGATTCTGCCACGATTACAATAATACCGATTATTATTGCTAGTAATTGTCCCTTTTAAAACTTTAACTAAAACTTCTGAAAATTAACTATAGCATTAAATATACTATTGAACATTTGATATTCATTTTACAATACTTATATAATAATTTTTAAATGGATATTATTGTATCATAAGCCTCTCAATATTATTACTGGGAAAATGCAATATACTATTATCTTATTCCCGTGATAGATAAATGTATACCGCATGCAGATTTCACTTCACCAACATCACTTTTTCTACCGTTAGAATGATATTCAGACTACAATAATTAATCGATCTTTAAATACCGTGTCACTATTAAGCCATTTTTTTTTCATAAATGTGTTCAATATTTCCTTTCAATCATATATGGACTTCGTATGTAAACTTTCTCTCTTTCATATAATGCTATGAATGACGGCTTCATATAAGCTACATTTAAGTATCAACTGTTAAATTTTTCTTTGAATTTAAATGACTTCCACCTCTCCTACATCCTTTCCTCACTTCTTTTTTATCAAAATTACTTCACATCATTTTTTTCATTACTTTTTAGAAATTTTAATTTCTTCCAAAATTTCAAAAATTTATATCATGCACAAAAGTATGTTGAAACAACAATTTTCAACTAACATCACTATGATTTTATCACACAAAATTAGAATAATTTATTAGGTTTTGCAACAACAAAACAAAGTTACAGCTTGGAAAAAAAAGAACATGAATGCAAATAAGGGAATGAAACTGCTAAACTCATATTATTTGAAGCTTAATCATTCACCTAAGGCATCATAAATTTCTCTTATTTCCTATATTTTTATTATTCAAGTTAATGTTTTCACATCTGTCAACTCAAAACGTAAAATAATCCAATAAATATTCAAAAATAAAAGTGAATCATTCATAATTTATGTAATTTATAAGATCGAGATGTTACAATAAATAAAGAGTGCAGCAATACATAATTAAAATAGGTCAGTAGTGACAAAAATAATCACCAACAATTACATTTTCAAAAATAGGACAAAAATTCCTAATTATGAAAAATTATTAGTTAGCAACTCTTTTACAGTGATTTTCCACTCTCTGACTACTTCCAAAAAAAAAATGTTCATAAAAGATAAATTATATCAAGAGAATATACCGGCCCTTTATAGTGTAATAAGTTATATGACTACAAAATGCAACCATGTAGCTATGTTTATCCCTTTAATATAACGTAATGATTCAATCTATAAAAAACAGTATTATTAACAATATAAATGAATTGCATTAATGGCAATATAAAGTTTTTCAAACTGCATAGTAATCATAATTAACAGGATTTTAAGTCCGACATTTTCCGTTTGTAAACAGTATAGCTATACAACTTAACTTGATACAGACAAATGATAAACTACCATAATACATCACAACAAATCCCATTAAAGTCAAAATAACATAACATCAAATCACCTGATGCCTAACTTTCTCAAACATCGTTCAAGTCCCTTTTCTTCGTATTCTTCCTTCGAAATCCAGAAATCCTGAAATAATGAAAAAGATCAAAACATGCAATCTTGCTCTCTTTGTAGAACAAATAATCACAACAATATTAACTGATTCTTACACTGCAGTATTGCAAAAGTGAAAAAAAAAGTAAAACAATCGACATGTGCATATACATTATACACTTACTGAATCCCGATCCCTCATAATATTTGCTAGTACAGCACCACCAAGAAATACCATATGCTGCCTCCTTGGAGGAGCTTCAATTCGAATTTTAAACTTCTGAAACAGTATGATTTTTACACAATTGTCAATAATCCAGTTACAGTTAGATGTCAAATACGAAACCTCAGCGATAAAAAATTACATCAAAATACTATCACAAAATCCAGCCTAATAGCTCATATAGAAAAGAATGCTACTTGGAACAAAAGAATGTTCCAAGCAACATTCTTTTCATCATAAATTTTCAATTAACAACCTGAAATGCTTCAGTATTGCCTTGCAGAACTCGATCCAGATAAAGCTGCTTTAGTTCACGTTCCAAACGGCTTTGAAGACCGGGATACATAGTTGTACCACCAGACAATACAATGTGTTTATAAAATTCAAGTCGAGTGTCTGAAAGGAAAAAAATACTGCTGACAAAGTTCAAAATCATAGACTTCTGATTAACAGTTTTGTGGATTAACACGGTCTCTTATTCATTTAATCGAACAATTTCGGCTTGCAATTTAGAAAGTTTTCTTTAAAAAAAGGAGATCAACTTCAAATCTAAGAAAAGCAGAATGGTGTTCTGCACTTATTACCTTAATAATACTTTTTTCACAAAGTCATTACTTATGCTTCATTACTTTCAGTTATTACCTCAGCTGCAAGGCGATCAAAAAATCCTAAATGGATTTAAATGTGCTATATGTATTAAAAGATGAGAAAGATTTTGCATTTCAAATAAAATTATTTTCCATCAAACAGCAGATAATACCGCTGACAATTAAGTATAGCTTGGATCAAATGTTCAGTTTTATCGCTTTAAGTTGATCAAAGAGTGCCAAAAATGCGAGCAACTCACCAATGTCAGCAGACTGTATAACCCCAAACAATAATTCACTGAGACCTGACCTTTCAACATTAATTAAATGTGGTTGAAACAAAACTTCAGGTGCTTCAAATCTTTCCCCTCCAACACGAATCACACGACCATCCG